TATCCAGTGCTCCACCACCCGGGCCCTGTCCAGCGCCTTCATGCCGCGGTCCCCGAGGCACGTGGTGATGACGCAGTTGGCCACGCTGTTGAACTGGGTGACGGTGGCGCGGATGGTGGGCGCCAGGTGCTCCTTGCCCTTCTTGTCCCGCTGCGACCAGATGGAGCCCAGGCAGTGGTACGGCACCACCTTCTTGAACAGCTCCTGGGGAAGGCGCGGCGTCACTGCGTCTCCCGGCTCCGCCGCCACCCTCGTCCCTGCCTGGGGCCCGGGGCCTGAGCTGGAGCTCAGCCCTTCTGGGGGTGGGGCTGGGGTCTCTGTGCCTGCCCATGGAGGGACGTCCCAGCTCCGAGGACCAGGGATCCTCACCAGGTCCAAACGCCTCCACCTGCCTGTGTCGGGTGGCACCCCCCCCCCCATCACCCATCGCCCTGTCCAGACGCACAGCCAGTGTCTGCCCATGGACTCATACAAACACGAGGTGCCTAATGTGTGCTGAGCCGGTGGGGCTTCCTGGGCAGATGGGGGGCCCAGGGGTAGGCCTGTCTCTGTCCATCTGTCCCATCTGCAGTCGCGCCGCAGAGGGCGGGGCCTCCTTCACTGCCCAGGGGTGCTCGAGGCCTTGGGGCTAAGCAGCCTGGCTGGTGGCGGAGGGGCCCGGGCCGGGCACGGGCGGCCGGGGCAGCTGAGCCACTCACCGCGTCCATCAGCGTGAACTGCTCGGCCACCAGCTCGGGCGGGAAGACCAGGAGGCGCGGCTTCTCCGGGCTCAGCCCGTCCTCGGCAGCCGCCCAGGGAGGCTCTAAGGGTGGCCCCGGTCCGGGAGCCGCGTCCAGCTCCAGGGTCTGCGACAGAGCCGCCTCCAGCTCTGCCGCCAGCTCTGCGGCGGGCGCCGGGGTGGGCTGCAGGTCCAGGACCGGCGCGAGGACCGCGTCGGGCTCCGGCTCGGGACTGGGTGCGAGAGCTGGCACCGGAGCCGGCGACAGAGCTGCAGAAGGAGGAGGGGTCACCTAGGCCACCGCCTTCCCGGCTGCCTCCCCGGAGACAGCGGGCGCCCACACCCCAACATCCAGAGGAGCCTGGCCTGCCCCCGCTCTCACGCACCCTCGGGCTCGGGGTCCCCGCGCTCCGGGTCCTCGAGTTGGGCCAGCAGCAGGTGCGCCCGGCGCTCCAGGTCCGAGCCGGGCATGTTGAGCTGCACGTAGGCCACCAGCTGCTTGAGGCAGGGGAAGTCCGGGGGCTGGCAGAAGTCCTCCGAGTACTGGTCCAGCCAGGTGCCCAGGATGGAGGAGATGGCACTGGGGGCAGGCGGGCGGCCAGCAGGCTTAGGCGCCAGGCCTCCTGGTCCTCCCACACCCCCGCGGCTGTGCAGGGCCTGCACGGAGGGATCCCTCTCCCCCAGGGAGCCCCCCGCCCTCGGCCTGCCCCCGCCCCCACTGGAATGCAGCCCAGCCGGCGAGGCACCCGTCCTCCCTCTCCGGTGGGTTCTGGGGCCCTGGCTCCCTGCGAAGACCCCCCCCCCCGCCAGTGCCAGGGAGCCCCCAGGTGTGTGAGCTGGCTGCTCCCCACCTCCCGTCCAGGCCGAGACAGGACAGGGTGGGCTAGCCTGTCCCCCGCCATAGTCCCGTCTCCCTTCTCCTGTGGGTGGCACCCTCTAGTGGGATTGCAGGTCCTGCTCCCCCCCTCCCCGACCGGAGGCCCACTCACTTCTTGAGTTGGTCCTGGGGTCCGCCGTCCTCGCTGGAGTAGGGGAGGACACATCCGTATCTAGAGGAGGCCGTGAGGGCGTCACATCTACCGTACCTGCTTACGACGTCTGGTGTTACTGGGCACTCCCCACCAGGGGGCAGCCCAGGCAGATGGGGCTCTCCCTGCTTCTGCTAAGGGCTGGGCGGGTGGCTGCACGCTGTGGGTGCCTCACAGACGGCTGCTGAGCGAGAGCCCAGCCAGCTGCTCTCTAGGGACCAGGGGGCTCTAGTTCCGGCTACTCCCAGGACAGGGACCCCCCCGCGGAATCTGGAATGTCTTCCGTTTTGGGGCAAACAGCTTTAGGGGAGAAAAGCCCTAAACAAGACCCCCGGTCCTGGGCAGCCCACTCCTTGGTGGCAGGGGGCCTCCCTCTGAGCACCCTGATGGTGGCAGGTGCAGGCGCCCACCTTTTGAACAGCAGGTCCAAGACCTGCTGGGTGGTGGTGAAGGCCCTGTAGGTGCACAGGAAGACGGTGACGTAGGAGAGGTCGCTGCCCTGGAAGGCAGGCACCAGGTGCTCCACCAGCTTCTCCAGCGTGCCCGCCTTCACGGTGCGTACCTTGCAGGTCTCGTACAAGTTCAGGGCCGACTCGTTCTCACACTGCGGGGACGAGGGAGGGGCGCCGTCAGGGGCAGCGACCCCAGGAGGCTTGGAGGCTACGGCACAGGCACAGACCCACCCCCCAAGCCCTCAGTGGTTCCCGGTGCATCCGCAGGGCGCTGGATGGGAAGCGGAGTGGCCGGGACTCGAACCAGCACTCTGGCGCAGGACGCTGGCACTGCGGACGGCGGCTCGGCTCGCCGTACCACGATGCCAGCCCCGGTTCTCGGCTTTCAAAGGAGAATTTGAGGCGTGGGAATGGGGAAAACACCAGTGCTTTCAGGGGGGCAGTTAGCAGAGCAAGGAACAACCATGGGGACACAGGGGGTTCCCTGTAGCTCTGCCCAAGTGGCCGCAGACACCCACGGGCCTCGCAGTGCCACGTGGCGGGCTACAGGACCCTGGGGAAGCTCTCAGTGGGTTGCCAAGTCAGAGACCCCTGAGCTCTACAGGTGAACAACAGCCCTGCTCGGCCGGGAGATGGGACACCCGGGGACACGGGGGGACAGGGGAACCCTGAACGCCTGGGGCAAAGCCCGCCAGGTCTCAGGGGCTGGGGGCAAAGGGGCAGGGCGGTGAGCAGGGGGAGGCACACGTGGGAGGGGCCTGGGAGCGAGCCTGGCGGACTCTGCACTCACCCCGAGCCAGCGCTGCCCCTTGCTGGCTCCGTGGTGCAGCTGCACCTTGCGCAGGGAGATGGAGTAGATGACCCCGTTGATCAGCTCCTCACCGATCTCCTGCGTGGAGTTCTGCGAAAGACAGCGCCGGGGCCGGGGCCATCAGGGCAGGCACAGTGTGCCGGGCCGTGCAGGCTTCCAGCCCGGGACGCTGGAGGGCCGGGCTGCACAGCAGGGTGGATGGCCGCTGCCTCCACCTCTCCAGCCAGCACTGGGCATTAAACATGGCGGCCCCCAGGCTTCCACCCCGGCCCCCCACCTCCACCCAGGATCGCCACCCTTCGCGCTGACCCTCCAAAGCGGCTGTTGTCTTTACCCAATCCCCAGACAGGTAAACGGAGGTGGAAGGAGGAGCAACCGTCCCCGAGGCTACACAGCCCCCACCCCCACGTCGGGGGCGCCTCCCCAGGCCCAGCGGCCGAGGTCACCCCACGCTCATCCCCCCTCCGCCCCGCGAGCCGGCAGCAGCAGCTCCAGGCACAGCCCTGGAGTCAGCGCCGAGTGCGGGGCAGCAGTGGGGCGTCCCCGACAGCTACACGTGGGGCCACTTCCTTCCCCTTCTGCCCATTCATACCCCGTGCCCACTGGCCAACAGAGCTCTCAGCTCCTGGTGCCGGTCATGTGACAGTGTGGCCGTGGGTGACAGCACGGGGGCTCCACAACCCGGAACCAGGCGGCCTCACGTGGCTGCCTCCTGTATCCCCAGTGAGTGGAAGAAACACCCTGTTTCAGGAACGAGGCGCTACCCCTCCCAGCCCGAGGGAGGCCAGCCCGGGCCGCATCCTCAGGGTTGGCCAAGGCCGTTTAGCCTCCCGCCCGCCACTACCCAGGGAAGGCAGCTTGGGAGGGGTGGGGAGTTGGGGGTGACAGCCTCTGAGAGTTCAGGAGGGAGCTGGGGATTGGGGTCACCAGCCGAGGCTGCGGGGGAGGGGCGAGGGGTGCAGGGAAGGTGCAGGTGGCCAGCGCCCCGGCAGCCCGGGGGCCCACCAGAGACCTGCTCCCAAGGCCTGGGCAGAAGCCAGGTGCCCAGCACGCTGTGGGCTGCACTCCAAGCCTCGGGCCTCCTGCCCACGGGTCCTGGGAGCCCCGTCCGGAAGTTCACTTCCTCTGACCCGAGACCGCCCTCCCACTCCGGGCTCTGTACCAGCGGGAAAAGCCGCGGACATCACCCGGCTCCGGCCCTCCGCCTCCGCAGGGCCGGGCGCGTTTCTCGGAAGTCAGCGGAACCGAACCGCAGGCGCAGCCCCGGCACACACACACCGCCCCCCCCCAACACGACATGGGGCCGGCCAGCCGCCCCTCCCGGCTCCCGGGGGCAGGGCTGGAGCGCCAGACTCCAGCACTCCCCTGCAGAGCCTCAGGTCAGCTGGGGGCCCCTCCCCTCCTCTCACTGGGATCTCGGCTCAGACAGAGATCGGGGAGTGGGAGGCTGTGCAGACCCACCTGCCCCAGGCCCCTGGACTTTAACCCTCTGGGGGTCCAGCGTTGTGTCCACCCCGGGGGATCCCTGTGCGTCCCTGTTCCCTGAGCAAGCCTAAACGGAGGCGGGCCTGACGGACGGCAGCCCAGCCAGCAGCTGGCCATCCCTGCGTGGTATCACGTGACTCCTCAGCCTTCCCACCGCCCCAAGGGGCCCTCTCTGCCAGCCGGGGTTGGGGGGGCGGTACAGGCCAGTGCGAGAGCCACACACGCCTGGGACGGGAGAGGGGAATCGGCGCCCCGTGGAGCAGATGGGGGTTAACCCCGTCCTCCGTGGGTGCTTCACGTGACAGCAGTGGGAGGAAGACGGACGCCCTATTCACTCCCAGGGTCTCTCGGTCTGTCTTGCAGAACAGGGTGGGGGGCTTTGTCCCCTGCTGTGACCCCTGTCCTGGGGACAGAACGGGGAAGCAGCCGGCAGCCGGGCCCTGCCCCCGGCAGGCCACCCTCCGTTAGCCCAGGGCACAGCAGGAAGGGCACGGAGGCAGCGCACCGAGTCCCTGGGGACCAGGCCGGCGGGGCTGGGGAGGCCGCGGGGGCGGGGCAGGGCCGGCCTGGTAAACAGCTGATGCTGAGAAATCGCCTGCGCCAGAGGGCAGGCGTCCAGCGGCTCTAAGCTGCCTGCTGCGGGAAAGGAATGCCACACGGCGGCTGTGTCCTCGGGGCACGGCCCCACAGTGGGCATCTGAGCCTCTGAACACCCCTGGGTCAGTGCAGGGGGTGTGTGTGTGTGTGCGCTGTGGGCCCTGCTGTCCCCTGGGTCGCTGCCGGGAGTCCCAGATGGGGCAGGGAGGAGGCCTGGGCGGTCCGGCTAGTGTGTCACCTGATCTGTCCCGATGGGGACAGAGCTGCTGCCCATCCCCAGCCCCCGGGGCCTGCCCCACCAGCCACGCTCCCCAGCAGGGGTTCACATCTGCACCTGCCACAGCGGCGCCTTCTCCCATCCTCACTGCCCCTCTGGTCCAGCTCCCTGAGGACCCCGGGGGCCCCCAGCCGCAGTCTGACTCCCCCATAGGAGCCCTGGCCGGGGGCTGTAGTGGAGAGGGGCTGAGCCGTCCATGGGCTCCTCTGTGTCCAGCTGTCCCAGGCCTGCGCACCGAGAGGCTCAGCCCACCCGCGTGGGCAGGTGCGGGCGGCTTCCACGCACCTGAGATCACCCCGAGCTCTGGCCGGCCAGCACCCTGCGGCTCTTAGCGTGAGGCCTGCCTTAGGGCCCCGTCTCTCCCAGCTCTGGCAGCCTCAGAGTGGGAACGGGGGTAGCAGTCGCTCTCCCTATAGGTGATGTGGAGGGCGACATAGGACGCGCTGCTCGGGCCTGGCCCTGGGGCCTGATGGTGGTGGCGTGGGCAATGCCTGCCCACAGCGCCAGGAGGAGCAGGTAAGCCTCACGAAACCTGCCTGAGACCCACGGGCGGCTGGGGTGGGGGCAGGCCCTGGAAACCCACCCTCTACGCCACTGCAGGAGCCGGGATGGGAGCCAGGGCAGAGACGGCCGCCCACCCCCAGCCACTGAGTCCACGGCTGCTGCCCGTGCCCCCGACTCCACAGCCAGAGACGGACGCCCGGGGAGGGGTCCAGTAGAGTCCATGTCCAGGGGAGAAACCCCGACCTGCTCAGCCCCAGCTCCCAGACTCAGAGACCCCCAAGGGAGGGGCAGGAGAACACGGGGCTTCCAGGTTCCTCCCACCCCCAGGCCGGCCCCTAACTGGACACCTGGGCCTTGGCACCGCAGGCGGGACCCCAGCAGCACGGGGTCAGCCCTGCACTGGCGGGGCGGGGGGGCAGCCTCAGTCAGGAGCTACCCTGGGGCCCGGTTTCCACGGCAGCCAGGGAGCTCCGTGACCCCAGGAAGAGGGGTTGGGGACCCCTGTGCTGGGCCATCTCCTCTGGAAGCCAGCACTGCCCGCTACTGGCCACTGGCCCTGACCTCCCGCAGCCCTGCTCCTGACGGCCAGGCAGGTGGGGAAGGCCTGAGAGGGGGCGTGGCCTGGCCTGGCCCTGAGAGGGCGCAGGGTGGAGCCAGTTGAAGGCCCACACTCAACAGCAACTCCAACCACGGCGTCCAGCCCGGGCGAGCACTTCCTGGTCCCAGGTCACTGGTCCCCCAAACGTAACAGCTGACAGGTGAGGGAGGACACAGCCCAGGGCGGGAACCAGGGCGGGGCTTTGAACCCTGGCCTGCAGAGACACACCTGCCTCCGATGCAGCTTTGGGGGAGACGCCGGATCCCTGCTGCACAGACACGGGGAAGGGCCACAGCCAGGAAGGACTTCCTGGGGTCACACAGCACGGCCAGACCTCTGGCACCTGCAGCTCTAGGGGGGCGTTTGTGGCCATGTCCTGGAAGCACCACGCGGGCGGGGCCGGGCGCTGCAGCCAGAGCGCAGGGCGCGGGTACTCGTAAGGCTGGGCTACTGCCTGTCCAGCTTCCTGTTAGGCCGTCTGGCTCACAAGGTCTTCCATCAGAACCTGGGAGGGAGCTGGCACCGCGTCCACTGTACAGATGAGGACACTGAGGCCCGGCGTGGGGGCAGGGCTAGGGCTACGGAGGGGCCGAGGGAGTCCCCGCGGAGGACAGGAAGCGCCACATTCCGCTGAGCAGTCCTGGGGGGCTGCCACGCGGAGATCGGGGTCTGCCTGCTCAAGCTCCGCTTCTCTCCTGCGCTAGGTCCAGGAGCGCCGCGTCACGGGAGCAGGCTGGGAGCACGGTGCTTCTGAGCCCACACGGTGGGTGGCCCAGCCCTGGGACAAGGCAGCCACAGCACGGAGTGGGGCAGGAGCCACTGGGGGAGCGGCCGGCAGCCCCCGTGGGCCAGCCCTGGGCTGTCTGGGCAGAGTCAGGGTCACACCGACCAGACCCCCTTCTCAATGGCCTGGCGCCCCAGTCCCACCTGCGAGCGATCTCCCACCTCCCAGAGCCGTCCCTGCCACCTCCCTCTGCTCCAGAACCAGCCCTGGGCGCCTCCCAGCACACAGGCGGCCCACCCAGAAAAGTCACGAGGACCCAGCAGCTGCCAGGTGTCCCCCCTCCTCCTGGGGCCCCTGTGAACCCGAGGGTCTGGCAGGTGACCGTCGGTCCTCTCATGAACCTGAGGGCCCTGTGGCTCCTGGGGGCTGCCCTTGGTAGCCAGGAAGCCGTCTTGGAAGACTGCAGCCACACACACGTGCACACACACGTGCAGGCCCCTGAGGCCAGGCCTGTGGGCTGCCAGTGTCACAGGTACTGATGTGCCCTGGGGTTAAACCTCAGGCTCCCACACAGCCAGACGAGGAGAGCAGACAGGTGGGAGGGAGGCAGCAGGCCGGGGAGACGCCCCCTGACTTCCCGCCCCTCACTGCCCTCAGGCCCCGCCGTCAGCCTCGGTCTGGTCCAGTCTCTGCCACGGACCAGCTCGTGACCCTGCAAACTAACACACCTCTAGAGGCTGCATTGTTTCACGTGTCAGACGGTTTATTAATAATCCTGACCCCAGGGAGACACAGGCCTTGCAAACGACACCCCCAACACACGTGGGGCTCCCACGCGCTGTGAGGTCCGACCTGGGGGTCCAGCCAGGGGCCTGCATCCCCCTGGAAGCTCCCCCCAGCCACCT